TATTAGATAAGTGAACAGATCGATGTCAGGAATGTAATTAAATAATTTTATCGACTTACACTTTACTTTTATGGCTTTCTTCAATGTGCGAACGTATTTTTGAGCCAGCCAATATTTGAGTAAGAAACTAAATGATCGTAGTTGCAAATAATCATGAACAGTGTAAATGATCAGAATAGACCGGTGGACACTGTTCGCAGTGCACTGAATTTCTCCTGTCGGCAGCGAACGGTTCATCTATTAGTGAAAAATAAGCCGCTGTCTGCAGTGAAGATGAGAAATTTTGCGCTAACTCAGGAAATGGAGAGAATTTAAATACATAGTAATGAAAATGTTTGCCTCGACGTAACTAAAAAATCCATGCACAATTAATGTGCAGCTCATACTTCACTTTTCTCGCGCACCTTCGGCCCCGTCACTACGCTGCCAGACGCTGCCGCTGAAATTTACACTGCTCTCGCACAGTGTGCCGAGTTTAGAGTTGGAGCGTCCGTGAACGGGCCTCTTAAAGCACTTTGTCTCTGGTGTCCCTGCGAGGCTGACTGAGCTATTATAGGTTGCAGTACGCTATTCTCAGGTACGAGTGAATTTGGATTAGTGCTCTTCAATAAGTGTCTATATGGATTATTGTATTTTGGATTATGGAATTATCTTCTTGTATTGTTCATTTCGACGTGCATTTATTGTGTCATTTATTTATCTCGGCAGGACAGAGTGAAGTCCCTCTTCTCTCTGTAGTTTACTATATATAAGCTAGTTTTGATCGCGATTCTAAGGGGGATTTCTGTTGGGATTTCCTGAATAAATATATAATCTTTTGATCTATCAACTGAGCCCGACATCATCACAGCAATCATCAGGCATATTAATAAGAAAAATCTGCTTGTGCGCGCGCAGCTTAGATTTTTATGATATTTTTATCAATTTTTGTTCAATAGGTTATTGCCTATCAACAGATGAGAGTACTCGTATAACTTTTTCTGCAAAACTATTATGAGAGAAGATCCTAGCTCACATCTTTATTTGAATTGCATTTTGAGTTGGCGCTAAATACATAGACAAACTCTCAGCCTTTTGTTTTGTCCGCTTAGTCTTAAAATTGAATTGAGATGCACAATAATGTTTGTGACGGCAGTGGTGAGAATAGTTCAGTCTGTGATACAATTGTCTGACGAGAATCCACGCATGACCAAAGTTTTCAGTAGCTATGGATAAGATGCAACGTTTGTCTTACAAGTTCTTCTGTGAAGATTCTCAATAAATGTGCTATATTATTACAGAACCCTGCGTGCTCCACATAGCAGCGCTTATAGCCTAGATTAAATAAAAGTCGACTCACGTATTTCGGAACCGCATAATAACTCAAATTGAGTTTATGTAAGCTTGGGCACTGCTGCTGCCCACGACACAGCCTCTTGATGTGGCGTCATTGTTCCACCGCCGAGGACATTGCGATCGCTATGTCATGTAGAAGCATCAAACATTTGTTCATACAAAGCATGTTTTCTTCACTGAAAACATAGAATATCATACGTAGCGAAGTTTCATATTATACAAAGAGCGCTTGGACCAATGTCTATAGTATTGATTCAGAGCCAGCCTCTTTTTCAAGTAGTATTTACTATCAACATATATTCAATATATAAAATAAAATTTGCAATATGACAGCTGCTCGCAGATGAGCAGATTATTGCCCACATTTCAATAATAATATTCTAATATTTAAGGCCATGCAAGTGATTATTATATGTTCGATACGTGTTGGAGTGGTAGACAACACGTATCGAAACATAGTATCTCATACCGTAATCTTTCTGTTCATTATTCTCGCCAAGGTGGATTACTTTACATTTGTCAGCGTTAAAACGAAGCTGTCACTTATCAGCCCTTATCTGCCACTTATCGGCGCATAAAAACCGAATTATTGCGCTATCACAATCAGTACAATTGTAAGATATTTAAAAATTCTAGTAATTTCTGACGTAATTTAATGTACATGAACGATGTATGCCGAACGATGCTCGTGACGCAAGTCTGACGTGTTTCCCCAAATGCCTCCCACAACGCCTGCATTTGAACAGTTAGTATACGGGTGTTTCACTACACATGAGAGTATGCTCGTATTTAACTAGTGTTTGGTGAAAAATGTCTACAAAATGGAGGCTGATTTAAATATGTATTTTATACCGATCAATAGAGAATAAATAGTCTACTTCCTTAAGTCTCATAAGTTTAAATACGTCGCATATATAATGAACATCGATGTACAATAGTTTTTTATCATAACTGATGGTATACAAAGTTTGCATTTTCTTGTTATTTTATATTGTACATAAGAGAAAAAGAGAAATTGTAAATAAATGGCTGAATAAACAGGAAAATTATCAGTATTATATTTATTTACGCGCGGAGTTATAATCAATCAATGAATATTCTATCCAAAAGGGCCCAAGCCGAGCCTGCCTATAAGGGCTCGCGGTTCTCAACATGGCACCGGATTATCAAAACTTCGTATCTTTTTATACGTACGTACAAAAAAGATACGTGTTGCGTAAGTACACCCTAATTTTGGCATTACCTAAACTTTCGTACGCAAGACTCATCTGTAAAGCTATTATTTCAGTATCAAGTTCAAGCTCCCGTTGGTTCAGTGCGCAGAGCGCGTGGATGAAAGGAGGTTACATGTCGAGTCAGTGGCATCTGCGAAGAAATCTAGTGTTACAAAATTGTAATTGTTTTCACCGTTTAACACGATCCCATATTATACCTAAGTCGAATTATTGACAAAATTCTATTATAATTCAACTTGTTGCTAGTAAATAAATAGTTTCATATTGATTCAACACTCAAAATTTGTACGTAACTCCACTTACGACACCTCCGAGCAGGCGCACAGTTCCGCACAAATTCTTGTACCTAGATTCCCGCGCATGTTTTGATAATACCACCGCTAGAGTTACGTCTTCATATTAGCACTTACGCAATAAGTGGCTACGTGTACCTAGCGATGTTGTGATAATCCTGCCCCTGACGCGCTGTAGTTTAAGCAGCGTACGGAACAGTGTTTTGATTGATGAAATTTGGCTGTTGCCGTAATGAAATCCATCACAAGCGAATATAGCGGACCATGCTAGTCGTCTTCTGTACAGTTCAACAAAACCTCATTTGACTGGTAACCATATTGGCTCTGAGCATTCACGAATGAATAAAGACTTTCCAGTATTGCCTCACAACCTACTTTAGCCAGCGCAACATCGAAAGCGAGAAAGAATTGCTTTCCAAATTTTGTGTAAATGTCTGAATTGCGGTGCATTATTGAAATAAGGTTTTCCTCTTTGAAGGTAACTTGCTCTAACTTTATTGATTGAACATTGAGAGTAACTTTCTCTTTGTGTTACTAAACTTTTCTTATTTTGAAGGTAACAGATCTCTAGCAGCTTGCTGGGCTTCGGACCGATCGTTGCTCAAATCGTTTTTTTCTACCCACATGGCCACCCAGGCTGCTTTGATTAGGACTCTCGTAACAAGCTGGGATCGAACCTGCAACACACTGCAATAATTTTAGTACTCTCAACTGTAACCACTTAGCCACCCTGCCGATTATAATTATTAGTCGCAGCAACAATAATTTACTTAGGAAATTTAAAGGAGAATCACCGCAATGACTCGTTTTTTCTTATTAAACTTCGTTTTAGCCAATTAAACTGAACTGCCAGCCTAGCGACAGTATTCAGTATGGTGAGCAATTAAGGAATGTCAGGATAAAGAAAGGTTGGTCTGGATCTATAGATCTTTTGGTAAAATGTAGCAAAAATATCACGCTCTGTCTAAGAATACATTATCCGTCGGAGAGGTTATTCCTTTCTATATGATTAATGACGACAGAAATACCATCAACCATGTGACATTATTGAACGACAGCTGGGCGATTTCCAGAGATAAAAAATTTAAACTTGGACAACAAAAAATGCAGAAACACACACAGATAATAAGTTTGTTGCGTTGTTTACGACAAATTACAAGAAAAAGAACGTGAAAAGGAATATGAAATGGAACGCTTAATACGATCCTGAAAAAGGTCAGAAAAAGAAATCACTTGGCGTCGATACCACCACAAGAACAGTATAAATCACACATCCGTCTGACAAGGAATCCTTAACATGTGTTTGAGCACAATCCCTGGACGTCCGCCTCTGTCCCACTATATTGTCACCAAAATAATCTCGCATCAGCTCCCCCAACTGAGGACAGATGAGCGTTAGTTCTATTGCTCCTGGGCCTCAGTAGCAAAGACGTGCCTCAGGCAGTTGACGACGTAGTCGCATCAGTGTAGCCGTAGACGTAGCCCTACAAAACATCTTCCGAAGTTGTAATGAAAAATTTGTGTCGTTGAAGTAACAACAAACGAAAAATTTCCATTTAAAGATACCATACTAAATACTGTTGTGATATGGGAATGTTATCTTTATTGTCTCTTTGGCGTTTCGCTGACGATAGATATGACTCCGTTTTGTTCCATTTACCTGAATGTTCAATTATGAGTCAAAATAAAATTTTGACACGTTTAGTGATGAATTTTGGGTTCAACGCTCCATCAGTGAATTATTACCACTTGAAATACACTGTATCAACGGTCCCGGGCAAGACGAGTCACCGTATCAACGGTTCCAGACAATACGAGTCACCGTATCAACGGTCCCGGGCAAGACGAGTCACCGTATCAACGGTCCCAGGCAAAAGGGAGGCGCGGATGGAGAGGCGACACAGCTCCTTCAGCGACCGCAGCGGCGCTACACACCAACAAAATTCAATGTTCATTAATGCTAAGCTAATGGACCTTTATTAAATTGTCACCGGCCAGAGCTATTAGCTACAAGCCAATCTAAACGTTAGGCCTGTAATTCACTTTCAGGATCGAATGCTCACTGCTCATAGGCCAGGACAATATATGAATAAATTCCAGGCTACTGGGCTCAATCATCTAAACTACAATGCCGTTCCTCTCTCCTAGTCATGGTCAGTTACAGCCGGTTCAGTGGCTATGGTATAATCACGACAAAGCACACTTAAAATAGTTTATTGAATCACTTTGTTTAAAATCAGTAAAACATGGTAAAGGGAAGCACAAATTCCGACTAAAATGACTATTCTAAGAGACGTTCAAATTGGTTCAATTCCATTTACTATTGCACAGCATTAATGCACGTAGTTAAGATTACCGTAATTCGCATAGGCGAACGATAGCAGGCTAGACTAAATAGTCACAGCACAGCCACAGCTCCAGCGTTAAGCAAAGAATGCCAGGAGTTAACACAGCTGAGCAGGTTCAGGTATGAACCTCACTGAACGGCTGGCGGGACACGACTCACTACATGACGCACCGACGCGCAGACCTGACCTAGTACTACGGTACGTAGTTTCAACCGCTGTAGGTCTGACTCACATGTCACTGGCGCGGCTTCGCCAGACGTAATAGAATTATATCGTCACAAGAAAATGCACATTGAATAAATTAGTGAACGATGTTCCTCGTTCACAAAATAATTATAATATCGATCGTTTACAATTAGAACGTTTGAATTAGCTGCATACACATCAGTTTAAAAAAAATGAAAAAAGTAAAGAAAAACTACATTGAAAAGAAATAAAAAAAGTTAAAAAATAAAAAAGTACTTTAAATTAAAAGTTCAACTAGGGAGAGCCGAAGTTTTAGGAAATCCTTTCTTCGAGTGGAGTTAAGAAGGAGGTCCATTAACCCTAAGTAAAGTGCCTCACTCAATGATTTAAACGTACCCGTTTGATTTAAAAGTGCCACTACGTTTTCTGGACGATAGAAATTTTCCAGCGGCCTCATTTCGTCATCGCAACGAGACCCAGAAGGCGTAGGAGTCCGAAGCTTCCACCTCGGAGCATAACGGTGAAGAATGGAGGACATGAGCCGCCCACTTTCAGCACGCTCCCATGTAATTTCTGTCTCGCTGTTCCAGAAGACAGAAGAATTAACTTTTAACATCATAGAAATTAAACTCATTGGTTATATTAATATAATTCCAACAAGAACCAGAATTGTGAATCAGTAATTGGCTTAGAAACTCACTTCAGGAATAATTCGCGCACGCCGAGATGGAGCAGCATAAGCACAAGGAAATGGCATCCAAATTCAATGCCACTCCTACACAAACCCGTCATCCTGGGCGACCTGAGGCACACAAATGAAAATAATGTGATGACGGTCAGAGCATGACGCTAAAACACGAATGTGAAGAGTATCATACGTATAGTGGTAATGTAAATGTTCACATATGCATCAGCTGTGAAGCTACCTCGCATCGGATGATTTATTGCAATGCAGACACTTTCATCTAAACGAACCCACCTGAACCAGCACTGCCCCTCTTCACAGCAGTTCCTGGTCAGCTCTGATAACAGAATTCGATACGGTGACTCCGGCGAGTGCACAATG